CCCCAATAATCTCCACATGAAACCTCCCCACCCCCCAATATTCTACAAAATGTTTTTCCTATAGAACACCCTTTGGCTTGTGCTCTGTGAACTTTGGTATGTTTTGGGACTTCTTATGGATGTAGTACCACTAGATTTGGTGGGGGGGCAGTGTTGCACAGTATATTTCACTTGCGCCAATAAAAGGAACATCGATAAGAAGATAACGACAGAACAACAACAAAAAAATGGAAAATTTCGACCTGTATTTAATGTCAACACAGACCTGCAGATGTGGATGCCAAACATAAGGCACGCCCTGAAGAACATGTACAGTTAGTTGAACTTTTTTGACCTATTATATCACTGTTGTCTGTTATTTTGCATCCTTAAATTTCCATGCTCGTCATAGATATCCCTGACATGACTAGTGCCTTTGAAGTGACACCAGGGCTTCCTGTTCATCGTCAAGAGAATAAATCAATGCTAATTATTTTCAAATATTTTTACAAATTATTAGTTTGTACTACATTTTATAATTTCCCTAACTGTTTCAATCAGACGTTATAAATGTAGATAAAATAATCTATAGCCCATATTCTGACCTCACAGACTCTGACACATGTTGAATATTTTATGATTCTTCCCTCTGTCACTTGAAAGGAGACATGGCATCAAACCCCGTCCCCGTGGATCTGACCCTTCAGTCTCAAACCCCATGTAGTGAATAAAGTAATAATTACGGCTCCCTGGACTCACATTTACTGCCCCCTTTATTTTTCTCAACCACCGTACACACCGACGACGTTATTGATCACTGCCTTCAAGTATTAATTACTCCTTGCACGTTGTCCATCCATCAAATTATTTTTCCCATCACTTCACTCATTCATCCCATCGCTCTTTTCACGTGTTAGCGTGTCTCCTAAATATCAGACTAATTTGTAGATCCCTCCGAGCTCTTGCGTTGTGCGGTATATTAAATGTCACATACATAAATTCAACCACTTAGTCAATTGCTCCAGAGCCTTTGGTCCCTTTTAGTTAATGATCAGTGAGTGTCGTGCTCTCGACATCAAGGATGTCACATTCTCTCCCACAGACGCAGAACTGACGAGGCTTGTTTGTGTGTTGTTTGTGTTTTCTACAGGGAGCCGTCCCTGCTGGAGAACGGCCTGCAGGGATTGACCGAGCACCAGGAAAACACAGCTTCAGTAGCAGGTCAGATTGTCTGTGTGTGTGTGTGTGTGTGAAAGTTTCTCTCAAACACACACTTTGATGTGGATCTGTTTTGTTGTGTTTTTTTCTCCTCGTGCTGCTGAATCACTGTTTTTACTAACAGTCTGATTTCAACTCTGAAAGCGACACACTCTCTCTCTGTGGTCGGTGACTACGGATGAGAATTTCTGTTTTTTTTTCAAGCTCACATTTGTCTATGTTCATGATTATTTATGTTTATTTGTGTGTGTTTGTGTCCTACTTTCTCCTCATTAAAACTGCATCCCATTGCCGATCAAGGCCCCTACAGATACTGTTAGCAAAAAGAAGCTCCATCATTAGCCCCGCTACGAAACACTTCCAAAACAAGGTCAGGGTCACTCTATCACACACACACACACACAGAGATATGGACATGTGTAAACTGGAGTGGATGCACACGCTCAGTCTCAAAAATAAACTACTAACACACTTTCATCTGCTTCACTTGAGAAAAACACACTTAGTAACAACCATACATAAATTAGCAGCTGATGCTTAATTAACTATTTGAGATGAAGAATGCCTCACGTCTCTGGTGAGCTTTTTAATCCGTGTGTGTGTGTGTGTGTGTGTGTGTTAGGAGCGTGCTGCTGCCTCCTCACGTCTCAATAGAGGGTGAGGAAGAAAGTTGCCACACACCTGACAAACATGTCACACAGTATATAACCCCCCCCCCCACGTCTCGTACAAGCAGCGTTAATGACAAATACTTATACCATATACTCACTGTTTTAAAAAATATATGACTATTTTTTAGTATTTTACAAACATTAATTTGTCGCCTTCTTGCATTTGTCATTGATGTAAAACTGAAAAAGTTGAAGAAGTACTGTAGTAAACACCTGTCTTTATTTTTATCTCGCTATAATCACAGAAACCATAGAAGAAAAAATCTGTTGAAAATGGTACGAGGTTTAGCACTACATTAGAAGTGATTCACTTAATAACCCCTGAAAGCCTATTGAATATTTCATCATTATTGCAAATTAGATCAAGTCGATTTAAAAAAAAAAAAGCAGAACGTTGCAGTCCTGTGGGTGTTGGTTCACAAAGAGACAGAATTTCAGAGACTTCCATTTTCTCGTTCTGTCGTCTAATTCTGCCTAATCATTTTTACTTGAAGTTAAGACGGAAACACGCATGTCGTTTTTTTTTTTTTTTTGCTCTCCTATGTGCGTGTTTGATGAGCTGTGAATTAATTATAAGAACAGCCGCACAATGAACTACATCTGTGCTTCTTACAGGATCATTGGGTTTTTTTCCCCCCAAATTTATGATTTCAGATTTGGCAGCTCATCGTGAAGTTGGTCAGTCAGTTGAAAACGTGACTCATGTTAAAGAATTTCAAATGGGGCCACACTGTGGTAGAGTGGTGAGATCTTTTGCCTTACATCAAGAAGATCTGTAGTTTCCTCCCTGCTGTGATGATGGTTAAAAAAAGAAACGGAAAATAATTCATGCAGTTTATGAGAACATACTCTTTGACACTTTAATGTTTCTTTATGATTTTTTTTCTTTTTGGTTTTATTACCCTTAATGTTGGGGGCATTTATTCAGACGTTCACACCCTTTCACTCATTTAACATGATCATTTGTTTTAGGCGTGTGTGCTCATAATTTTCTGGATGTCCTCTCATGTACACACACGGTCCAAGACCTTCTCAGCTGTGAGTGATGTCATGTAATGGTTTCTGTGGGCGCCGAAGAAACCATCCTTGAAATTGCAAAGAAGTCTAAACTGAACGAAGGGACGCAGCCGTAAATACAGGAACGACGGAGACTAGGTTGAATAAAAGTGTGTTCTTACACCGCTGTTTGTACACGTAAAGTGTTTCCCCGTGCACCGCGCTGCATGTGATTCCTTAGCGCCTCAGAGTGAGCGCGAGGCTACGCCCATAAATACAACAACGACTGGTCGTAAGTTTGAGCACGCTCACAGCCAAAGTCATTACCTTTGAATCAAAATGTCCTTTTCATACAAAGAAAACGATTTACTGCAGATTGGTTTAATGAAACAGTGTTGCCAGTGTATTATATTTCCTTGTGAAATGAGGCACTGCGTTGGCAGTGTGTTAGAATCCAGGAGGTGAAAAGGTAAATGGGTTTTACTGGATGCACCAGAGAATCTGGATCAGGGAGGGAGGGCTGTGTTTTTATGGTTCACGCAATTTATTCATTTATCACCCTGGAAGTTAACTGTGGTTCATCCAGGGAGAAGATCTGTGTTGTAGTTCTGTTGTAATATGGTTTGTAAATCAGACAGGCCTGTCCCTGTCCATCTGTCCTTCCTTTGTCTCCACCATCTGTCCTCACTTCCCTTTTCGCTGCTCGTCTTCTCAGCGCTCGCTCTCTGTCTTCATTCGTCTTTGTTTGCTGTCTTTTTTTATAATGGTTAAAATACTGCTAATTATTTCTTAGAAAATAAATGATTATTGTGAATGATTATTTCTGGTAAAATTTAAAAATTTTTTTATCTAGTCATTATCTATTAGGGGTGTGTGTTGGCTTCAACGTAAATGTCAGATCTTCTTCTTTTTTTTTATCAGTCAGTTGTATCTATTAGGGGTGTGTGTTGGCTTCACAGTTTTTCCCAGTATTTTCACCTATTAGTGAATTAATCAAACCACAGATTTCACAGAGTTTTTCCCGTGTTATTTTTAAAGTTCCAGCTCCTCCGTAAACACTGTCACGGTGGTAGAAAATGTGGAGACTGTGTAATCGTTGACTCAGTTTTGGATGAGGACCTGCATGAACAATCGCTCTGTTAGCACCAGTTGGCCTTTCAGATGAAGCCCCATCTGTGTCTCGGCTCCATCATAATAACGTAGACTTGGTGATAACAGTGAATTCAGCTCATTTATCGGCTCAGAATAATTATTTCATTATAGTCACACGCTTCAGTCAGTTTGTACGTCTGGTTTTCAGTTTCTAACAAAAAAAAAAGGTAATTGAGTTTAGCACCAAACATTATCAGGTGTTAAACTCTGAGGTCGCCCCCAGGTGGCCCCCAGGTGGCCCACGGGCCACTGTTTGTCCTGGTCTGCTTTAGAAAGATTATTATTAATAATTGCAGGTGGCCCCCAGGTGGCCCCCAGGTGGACCACAGGTGGCCCGCGGGCCACTATTTGTCCTGGCCTGCTTTAGAAAGATTATTATTAATAATTATTTACAGAACAGTAATGCTAACAGTTGGACTGTGATGGTGTGTCTGTCTCGTTCCTGAGGCGATGGTGGCAGTAATTCAGTAACAAACACAGGTTTATTAACTGCTGTTGTGTTGAGTATTTTCTGAGGAAAAAAAAAAAAAAATCATATCGTTGCTTCAGCTGTTTTTAAAAACTTTCCAGATTGTCTGCACTGACAGATTTACTGCACACATACACTCGACTGTTGAGTGTCAGGTTTGCGCTCGTTCATTCATCTAAGTATATTGTTATAAATAATAATATGTTTTTTTTTTCTTCTGTATTTGCATATATTCATCTCCAGCGACATTGTGCATTTCTGCGGATTTTCCTTCCATTTACTCCCTAAACTGTTGGTTCTCTCCTCTTTGAAGATGAGCCTTGTGAAAAATGAAAAAAAAAAGAGAGAGAGAGAGCTGATAAATAAAGAGCAGTGAGAGGGTGAGACGCTCTGAGGGGAAGGTAATGCATATCCTGCTCTTTTGTTATTTCTCTGCCGTGTTTCTGTCCTTCACACTGAGGATCAGTGAAGTGGCAGCTGGATAAAGGAAACACCTGCTCTCTTCATCTCTCTGTGTTCGGCCCTTTTTTTTTTTTCTCTCAGCCTTTTTTTTTCTCCCCCCTCCACTCACACCTCTCTGCCTCACTCCTTACTTAACTCTCACCTGTTTTGTCTCTCTGTCCACTTTAGTTTTTTTTATTTTTATTGATGGAGCCTGTCAAACATGTCCCAAAAACATCAAAGAAAAGGATGCAAATGGACTGTGTGTGTGTGTGATTCTGGTTTATCTACACTTGTGGGACTAAGTACTATTTCTCAGTGGGGGACATTTTGCACGTCCCCCGCTGAGTGAGAAGACGTTATATGGGTTTAGCGTTAGAGTCAGATTAGTAAGTATTGGGTTTAATTATATATTTTTTTTTTAATTCATAATCCAATGGGTCATAATTAAAGAAAATAATGACATTGAAATGAATTTGCCCCGTGCCCCCAGGGGCGACCAGTGTCCACTTTGGGAACCACTGGGTTTGGACAAGTGGCAAAAGAATGCTTTGACCATGTGAAGTGTGGACAAAAGACAAAAAAACGTTGTGTGATCTGTTGGTTTTTTAGAACAGTCTGGGAGACCAGGCTGAAACTGGGGGAGTTTTTTATTTTCTAGTGTCTGTTGTTAGTCTGTTTCCACACACAGTCGTCGTCTTCTCTGAACTTTATCAGCTTCAGCATCGCTGTGGCTTCATGGACGTTTGAGGGACAGTCGGTCGGCGGTGAAGGAGGGAAACGAAATGAGCAGAGTTACAGAGAGAGAGAGAGAGAATGAAACCTGAGTTAGTTTCAGCTCTCTTAGAAAACACAGAGAGCGGGAGCAGAGAGAAGGTCGAGGGAGGATTAATGGCTGTGGTCTGAGAGATAAACTAATCAAACAAACAAAGACTCACATTTAAACACAGAGAGAATCCCAAACACGCTCAGTCGGAGAGAGAGAGAGGAAGCAGCTCAGTCGGATGAATGACAAACTTTTCATTCACACTCAGCTCTGTCTGTGTGTGTGTGGTCTGTTATTATAGACCTCCTTCATGAAGAATGAATTTAGTCTTTCACTATAAATGAACTGAGACAGTTGACCTTCAACTTCACCCTAATTTTCAATTTTCAATTTCTTTTCCATCTTCGCCATTCGTCTCATCGTAAAAACGTCTTTACTTGATTACCTGCTCCCTCATTGGCTTATTTGTATAAACTTTGAGACCCTTCCTGATTGTCCTTGTACTTGAGAAGTGCTCAGAACTCAATTTGTCTTCACAAGTTTGTCTCGTACGGTTTGGTTCCAGGTTGAAACGTTTTGGGTTTTTTCTCAGATCCTAGTGAAACCTTTGATGAAGAATACTCACCAACTCTCATCTCTGTGTTTGTACTCGTAGCCTGATCAGAACGTTGGAGATCCTGGGAGAAGATAGTCCACTTGGGATCCACGTGGTGCCCTACTGCTCCTCGCTCAGTGGTCGGTAAGTGGAAAATAACGAAAACCTTCAGAGTTGAGTTCACATTAGGGTTTCACCACGGTGACTGTGGCATGTCTTTGTTCTTCATGTCTCTGCAGATTAGATCATTCAGAATATTTATGAATAAATCTGACTTATAGACCAGTAAGATTTTTGAATGTTTTCATAGTAAAATATGATTTTCTGGACCAGAGCTGTGATGTCCGTGTTCCTGCAGCCACAGGTCAGACCTCAGTCCAGTCCCAGACAAAAACAACATCGTCTGTTGGACACGATCTCCAACTGAACTTGACCATTTTCCTTCTCATAATCTATTTTCCTCCTCTGGACGGAGCTCTGCAGTGCTTTTGTTTGGGCGTGTTACCGTCAGACAGCAGATGGAGATTTCCAAAAAGGAAGCAGGATAAATTTCTCTGTCTGTTCTCATGACTCACCTGACCTTGTCAATTTCCTCCTTAAACTCACCTCTCTCTCCCTCCCTCTCTAACTCCCTCTGTCATTTTTCTCCGTATCTTCTCCTCCCTGTTTTCCTAAACCTCTCCACTATCCCATAATCCCTTTCAACTTCTGACCTACATTCATACGTTTGGAGATGCCTTTGATGCGTCCCTGTCATCACTGCTCTTGTTCAGCACTGCATCTGTGGGAAAAGTGATGAACTGAGGAAAGTGGAATTTTTTTTTCTTATTGTCTGATGTTCAGGGTTTGTCTTTACACCTGTCTGTTCTTCCTCGACCTGGAAAGGTTTTTCCCTCTTATTGTCTGCTGCTGTTCCTGTCGTTCATCACTAACCTGTGAATGAGATGAGCTGAGGAAAAAAAGGTGACATCAATTTGTCATCAGGGGGCGCCGCAGCGGTACACTGCATGGTGACATCGCAGAATTTTTACACTTAATGCCCTTCCTGACAGGACTAGGTGGTATCAGACGTGGAACCCCCTAGTGGCTGGTGTGAGTCCTACCATTGCACCAGTCTGTCTGCTGATGTCCAGTGGTTTCAGTTTCAGTCAGATTCAAATGGACACGAGGACAAACACAGTTTAAAGTCATGGACCTGACCTCATACCTCACCACCAGAGCTGAAGAATGTTCTTGGCAGAGACGTGAACCGTCCTTAACTGAACTTAGTGACTCACATGGTGTGAAGACCGTTGATACCAGTCACTTACGTCTGTTTTATTAAACAAAGTGTAACAAGAGGCCGAGGCCGAGACTCATCGTCCCCTCATTTCTGTTCCAGGCCTCTGGGTCTGTACGTCCGTGGCGTGGAGGAGGAGAGTCGCTCCAGGAGGGAGGGCTTGTTCCAGGAGGACGAGTGCATCGTCAGGATCAACAACACTGACCTCATGGACAAGACGTTCAGCCAGTGAGTGCACGAGTGCTGGTCGGAGCTAGAACCATGGGTATTAAATAATGTGTGGGGGGGTAAAGGTACTAGAGTATTAGTTTATACAGTAGTGATTAATGTTCCTCTGCACCTGTGACTGTCTGTCTCTGTGTGTATTTAGAGCTTTAATTATATTATAATAACAACAATAATAATAATAATTGTGATTCTTGACCTTTGACCTTCAGAGCCAGTGAACACATTCATGTCCATGTATGTAACATGTTGGAGAGACTTTGTTTTTTTTTCACTCTCGTCTCTGTCCTGCAACAACAACCACCGTCAGTGTCTGACGTTACAGAGAATTAGGGAGAAAAAACAAAACATTTGTCAGATGTTTGTAGAGTTCTCCGTGTGTTTGTAAGAGATTCCTGGCCTCTGTGCGTCTCTGTGTTCCGTCACATTCCTCAGAGAACGTTGTTGTTTTAGAACCAGGTGAGAGCAGATGTTGCTCTGCAGACTTGACGTAGAGAAGAATCGAAGCACCTGAAACAAAGTATAATTAGATAAAAACATCTGAGGATGTGGAACATGATTATAGAGCAATAAAACAACAGAAGACGTGGTGGTAAAAAACAACAACAACGACGACAACAACAACGACACCGACATGACTGTGATGATGTTCTCTGTTCTCACATCTGGGTCTGAGAGAAAGACTGAGGGGAAACAGTCAGGGAGTCACATATGTACTTATTAGTACTTTATACTACTATATTAAAGAGTCAGGGAGTATGTATTTATTCAAAGTTTCTGTCAAGTGTCAGTTTGGTTTAGTTTGAACTTTAGACATGGAAAAATCTGAGGTAGACAGACAGATATCCAGATGTAGAACTTTTTCAACATCTTCATTTTCTCAGTAGAACACATTTATTTGTTCAATCAAAGGACTTTGTGTCAAGTGTCAGTTTGGTTTAGTTTGAGGAATTTATACTAGTTCTAAGATTATTCTTTCTAGTTGTTTAGTTGTCTAGTTTCTAGTTCTTGTTTCTAGAAGGGCAGCTTTCATTTAAGATTATTCTTTCTAATTCAAAGGTTTCTACACATTGGCAGACTGATTAGATGTAGGAAGAATCTTTCTTGTTTCTAGAAGGGCAGCTTTCATTCTTTGATAATTTCTTTTCTAAATATAAATTAGTATTCTAAGTATCCTGGTCTGTTGTGTAGTTGGTCCTTGAAACTAAAGTTAAAATCCCCTGCAGTTCCACTTTACTGCATTATATCCAAAGTTTTCTTATATGTAACTTTGACTGTTAGTGTTGCAAACCTAATCTATAAAAGTTCGTTTAGTTTTATTATACTTTTAATAGATGTCTTTTGAACACAGTCCTCGGTCTCTGGACCGTCGAGATCATTATAAGTAACAGTAATCTAGGCGGGAAACAATAGGGCCGTAATCCAATCAAATTGAAACAAAGTGGATTTTCTCTGTCAGTTATCTGAGGAGAATGATGGTGACTTCCATCGCTCCTGACACAATAGTCTCAATAACTTACTTAGCATAATCTCATACAGACTAATTGTCGGCCAAATCAGCTTTTTATGGATCATGTGACTCTAATGGACTGGTGAACAGGTGGCTCATTTCTGTGTTTTTGACTGATGAAAACTTTATAGCTTACACTTCAGCAAATGTTTTAGAAAATACAGTACATTACACGTTTTAGTATTTTTTTATGTTGGACTGAGGTTGGTTGAAGTACATTGTATATCGGTGTATACACACACAGTACTTCAGGGGTCAAGTATATTTGTCCAAAGAGCCTCCAAGAAAAACATAATCAAATAACAGTTTTATTTAATTAATTTTAAACGTACGTATTCTCTCATTTTGTCTCCCAGAGCGCAGGAAGTCTTTCGCCAGGCGATGCACTCCCCGGTGGTCCGATTGGACGTGGTTCCCTCCTCCAACAGAGAACGCTATGAAAAGAGTCTGATTGGTCAGCTGTTTGGCAACGGCACCGTTGTGGACAACGGCCCCAGCATCCCCAGGAGTAAAGAGCCCCCGCCTGTCAAAGCCAAACCTGTGTTTAAGCCTCACGAGAATCCAGGCGCACGGTCAGCAGAGGATGCGGCCGCTCTGGAACCTTCTCTCAGTGTATGTTGCTCTGCTGTTACATGGATGTGAAACACACAAACAAAGTCCATCGCACCTTCCTCATCCTCACAACCTCAGAGATCAGAGGACGAGGATGAGGAGTTCCATTGTCTATGAAGAGCTCAGATATCCTCATTTAAAACAGATGAACATAATCATTTTCAAATCAAAATAATTTTTTTACAACATCCCATAATTTCTACTATTGACACATTCTTTAATTTAAAGTTAATGTTTTCCATGTATTGCCCCCCCCCACCCCCCCACCTCCCCTGTGATTCTTGATGAACTGTGAAATCTGATTCATCCACATGTAATTTTAGCGTCAGCATCACCATGGTGACAGGGCTGACATTTCAAATAACAGCTGGCTTAGTGGAAGCGGTTACTAAGCAACCGTTACTTACCATCTTGTTACAGTAAAAAAGTGTTTTTTTTTTAATGTAGATGTCGGAGCGCCGTGTCCTGAAGAAAAGCTTTTTTTAAATGAGTCTCCTGCTTTGATTCGTGGAAAATGGTCTACATTAACCCAGTGTGGTCTTCATGTTACTTTCTTTGGACATGAACAAAAAAATATTAAACCATTCCCACGACACTGTTAGTCCAAGAACAGCTGTTTCTGGTTGGTTTTCTACCACAGCTCAGCTCTTCTACCGATAAACCGAATGATAAAACTACAGACCAGGAGAGAGTGTGTCGAAAAATGTCTGTTTAAATGTACATTTTCCTCTTTATTTAAATAAATGACTTGAATTTTTCCCTCTCGCCCCCCCCCCCCCCCCCCCCAAAAAGGGGGGTTCTCCCTCCCCCCCCCCCCCCCCAGATTTCTAAAGGCAGGAGTGAGAGTCCTCTCTATAAGAAAAATCCACCTCTCACCAGCCTCGTGGCCAATAAGAGAAATGGCCGAAGACTGAGGATTGACTTGTCCAAAGGTGAGAAAACCCACAGGTGTGTGATCTGACGGAGTCACACCAGCAGGCTTCACTTCACTGCAGTGCGTTATTCTGCTCCGTCCTCAGTCTGAGGGGTGAACTTAAAACTTAAAAACTATTATACTTGACCATGGACAAGTCAGTCAGTGAGTGGAGCCCGCTGCGTTAGACACACTGTAATATCTATAGAAAAATAAGGACAAAATAAAGCGAAATAATTTTTTTTAAAAAAGTCAATTTTTTGGAAGCTGACAGCAAACAGAAATTGAGCAGAGCTTCTCCATTATTCAATTGAAAAAACTCTTTTTGAACAAAGGTTCATTTTAACCGTGAGAAATTATTTCAGTGTTTCATTAAACAAATGAACAATCTGATACAAATTCAGCATCAGATACCATTAAAATAATAAATTAAACTTCACATTTAAATGTACAAAATAGGGAGTTGATTAATAGAAACACCAGGTCAACATGTGTTTGAGTCTTGAAGGAAGCATCAGTCCTGGTGTCTGTATCCAGACCCTGGTTCCCTGATCAATACTGTTCTCTCTTTTTCTGCACTGAATTAATTCTTTTTTTCCAGAAACTTCTTGTCCGACAGCCTCTATTCCGTTGTATGTCGTGAGCTGTTGTGTTTATATAAATGGTTCTGTCCTCCTTCCTGCGGCCGAGTCTCCTTCCTGCCGTCCTCTCTCACTCTCTCCATCTTCCTGATTCTCCGTCTTCAGGGTCTATTAAGTCTTTATTGATCTGTTCATTTCTGCTGATATGAATTCATACGGGGCCAAACTGCTGACTCGGCTCTGCTAAAGAGACCAGATTAAATGAGGTCCATAAAACACACCAGCAGTCCTTGGCTGTCTGCGTGTGGCCTTTCCGTCCGGGCGTGCGCGTCTACCGATGCTTTCATACACATTATGCGGCGCTCTTTTTCACTGATTACTATTTTAATCTTCATCGTCGCTCTCTTTCCAGAACATTCACTCCTCATTTTCACACTGTGTTGCTCTCGTTTCCCTTTTACCCTTCTCCTCGTTGCCTCCTCATCTTCTTCCTCCGTGCCCCGCTCTTGAACCCGTTTTTTAAATCCTCCACATCTGCAGGTGCTGCAGCAGCAGGTGCTGCTAAACACACACCACCTGGGACACACATACTGGTTTTTGTGTTTTGTGAGCACCACACGTTCACACTAATCATTCACTCCACCAATAAGAAGCCTGATCCTCTGACCACCAGGGGGTTTCCCGGGGAGTTGTTGTGTGTTTGTCCATGTCAGTGTGTACCATCACCACATAGTACCTCTCATTGATACCATGTGTGTTCATCTAGGCTCAGAAGGTCTTGGTTTCACTGTAGTGACCAGAGACTCCTCAGTCCACGCTCCTGGACCCATTCTAGTCAAAAACATTCTGCCGCGCGGAGCTGCTGTCAAAGACGGACGCCTGCAGCCTGGGGATCGCATCCTGGAGGTACGGAGCGTGTACTGCACTCTGAGTCCACCAGGTGAACTGTATGCAGCCATTATTGCAGCCATTATTGCAGCCATTGTCTTCTTTGTGTAGGTCAATGGCGTGGATATCACAGGTGTCAACCAAGAGGAGTTGGTGTCCATGCTGCGCAGCACTCGTCCAGGAGAGAGCGTCTCCCTGGTGGTCCTCAGGCTGGAGGACTTGTTCCTGCCCAGAGAAATGGTAGGAACCAGTGAAGAGTGATGAAAAATAACACTGTAGGAACAGGTGGTTAAATGGATGGGGCGCACCTCCATATATGGCCCAGCCCCTTTTTTTTTTTCTATTTCTCTGAGCTCAGAGTTTCTGAGAGATGTCACAGATGATGAACTTCTCTAACATTCAGTAGTTAAGGAGAACCAGAGTTGATTTGGTTTTTAAAACCCCAGTTTCTGCCCCGGCTCCTTCTCTGTTCCTTTTCACTCTGTTTTGATTTCAATAAACTCCTGTTTTAACAACTCTTCTTCTCTTGTTCTCTTGCGTTTCCTTGTTTCCTGTTGCATGACCTACAACTGTGACTGATTTTATTTTACTTATAACTCCTCACTTTATGAGGCTGTAGATGTCTGATACAGTAGATCAGCCTCACGACTTTCTCTTCTGTACAGTAGTTGGTTTTCTTTTTTTTTCCTTTTTTCCTATTGGCTCTCACTTGTCTAAACTCTGCAGCTCTGACTTTTTTCCTCTTTGTGGATCCTGTGAATGTTTTTATGTTATCATCTCTTTTGGTGCTGACTTTCATTTATCTGTACCAATTTAACCTGTCATTTCTGCACGCCTCCACTGTAGCATGAAGCAAAAATAACAAGATGTTTGACTTTTTTTTTTACATAAGAGAACCATCATTTTCCATTTGGTTCTTTTCGACTCTCGTCTCCTCTAATCTCTGGTGTCTTTCTCTATTTTTCTTTTCCATTTTAAGCAGTGTCTGTTCCTTTTTTATTGCTGCTTTTTCTTTTTTCTTTTTTTTCCTGTCTCTGTCCTGTTATCCACTGATGTTTCCTCAGCAGCTGCCAGGAAGTTCTCCACACACACACACACACACACACACACACACAGCCCTATTGAAAATTCAGGCAGGAAATGAAGCAGAAGAATATACATGTTCCAGGGTTTTTTTAATTTGTCATTGTGTTTGCATACAATGGCATTTTTTAAGCACAGGCGAAAGTACATTTATTATTGTTTTTTTTATAATTTATTAATCATGATTAATCGTGATTAAACCAAAGCTCCCAGATTGTGGATTTAATATAATGTACTTTTTTATATCCAATAAAAGTCCCTTTAACTGTCATATTGAAAACCCCCCGATACCTCATAAAGGTCAAAGGTCATTCCCTGTTAGTAAACACTGGCAACTCCTCCAGCCAGTAGAACACACTGAAGTTGTACTAGTTATACTCTCTCTCTGTGTGTGTGTGTGATTTTTACACATCAGAGAGTACAACCAGAATCCTGTCTTCACACCTCAGTAGCTGCAGCGTCTTCAGGGTTTCACAGAGTCACTGTCACTAAACACACACACACTTTTACTCTACTCTGCCAAAATACACATGGTTTCCAACAGAAGTCCAGTTTTAGAGCGTTAACGACACGGAGAGGGAACTCAGCATATGTCAAAAAATAAAACTGTGACTCCAGTTCAGGTTTTTCACAACTCTGAATTCTGCAAACTTCTGGCACGTCCTTTAAGCTGCATTATTAAAAAAAAAAAAACGAAAACTTTGCTGCTTCATTCTGGCACGTCTTCTAAGCTGCATTATTTAAAAAAAAAAAAAAAACGAAAACTTTGCTACTTCATTTCTGTGATTCCCAGTTCCCTTTAATACCTAAATTTAAAGATTTGGAAAACGACACGGGGAAAAACTGACCGACCAAATCTGGAAGTAAATCTTTTAATTCCGTCTTTTAATAGAGTGTGCCTAAATAAAACACAGATTAGACGTGGAGCGTTGTGCCAGCCTGTTTGTGTTTACGGAGAGGAAACAGAAGAAGGAGGACGATGATGATGATGATGATGATGATGATGATGATGACATGATGGAAGCATCTCCTCCGTCTTCTCCTCCCCCTCTTCCGTTGTCTCGTTTCACTCCACCATCTGCTGTTGTCTGCTAAAGTCTGCCGATCGTAGAACAAAGACATTACGCCACCTCTGTGCACCAGCACGTGCACGTGCACCCACATCCGTGCACTCTCATTAATATAGGATCTTCAGTGGTGTACGTCGTGTGTGCGTCCACCTGCTGCGTTAGCGTTCTGTTGGCTCTGTTACACTGAAAACATGACGGAATATAAACAATCTGGAGAGAGAGAAAAAAAAAAAGGAAACCACCGTCAACCCTTTATATTTATTATGGCACAGTTAATAATTCTACTAAATATATACAAGTATACGTATGTATATAAAGTACTTTGTAGTTTGTGTTTTTTGAAAGCTCTTTCTCTACATGTTGCCAACGACTTAGTAATTCAGTCGATGCAGGTAATTATTACTTATCATTAATAGTTATAACCAATCAATCATTTACTATAACACATTATGGTTAAAAACACTAAAATAAATGATATCTTGCTGTCGTAGATCACTGGGCTGTAATATATAAACATGTATAAATGATAAGGGATTTATTACATTTTACTTTAGATTTTATTTTCTAACATTTTGTCATGGCGCAGACGCACAAACTCACAGAAAAGTCAACCGATACGACCAGGTCTTGAACCGTCGTCCTGCTGCTGTAAGGCCAAGATTCAGTGTATGAGGAGCCGACAAGTTTCCAGAGTAACAGATGTTATAGTGCACACACACACACACACACACACACACACGTGTGGTCATAGTGACGAGTCGGTGAACAGTTGTCAGGTGAAAACAGAACAACTTCATCAAACTGCTTCTGTGTTTGCTTCAGTCTGTGGTGGTGCTCACGAGCTGCATCTCACAGACATCGTCACCGACGTGACCTCACACAATCACAGCAGTAGATCCCCCATCTGTTACAGCCTCAGACACACACACACACACACACACACACACACTGCCTGGCAGTTTTTCCTCCGTGTGGAGAGCAGTCGCAGCATCACTTCTCTGTGTGTGTCTGTTGTTTCATCTCACGTCTCCGTGCTGTTTATTAAAGCTTTATCAGCTCCTTCATTATCCTGTCGTCTACAGTCACTGCTGTGGCTCCGAAGCCTCCGACCATGACTGTCACACACACTCGTCCAACACATCAGTCACTGCTTCAAGATGAACTTTTAGTAGAGTTTGGCAAATGACCAGTGAAATGGTCGCTTTATCAACTAGTGAACAACGTTCTGTTAAAAAAAAATCTACATCTCTTCATATATTTTTGTCTTTGAGCGGTAGATCCCAAACTTGGTGGCAGCTGTAGAACATTCTTTCACCACAAAGTTCTACAATGTGGAAAAGTAACGTTCCAAAAAACTGGAACTTTGTCTTTTTACGTTTATTAGTCGACCAATAGGAATCATTGTTTTGTTTTTTTTCTAGCTCTGTGTGTTTGTTTGAAGAGTATGAGGTTGGTGTTCTTCCCTTTCATCACTGATTATCAGCCAAATGATCAAAAGCCTAGAGGCCAGACTTGTTTATTGCACTGCGGAGCAATTGAATTTACAGCCAGGAAATAATAACGGCAGTGAAATTAGCATATAATTCTTTCATTTTCCATGGAACAAACCACAGCCACGGAGTTGGTTTGGACCCAAAATCTTCTCGACGCTCCAGCAGGATTTTATTTCCACCACCGTTCCCTCTCTCCTTCTTCTTTATTATTTTATTATTAAAATATAGGTTTGACTGTTAGAAACGTCACTGTCCTCATACTAACATGATTGCCTGGCATTTTGTTGATATGCGATATATCCACTAGGGGCAGTGCTGAGTTCAGAGTTGGATAATAAATACAGTACTAAGCAGCATGTGATTCTGATGTTTTTGTTGTTCTGTTTTTTTTCTTCTAGCTTTACTATTATAGGTGAACCATAGCTGTACTGCACAACACTGCCCCCACAGGATAAAACCTCCATATGTGTGCAAATAGTTTTGACTACATCCACAAGTAACAAGAAGTTACTGATCGTAAATGAACATAAAAAAGTAGGAAACAGCGTTGTATTTGTTGATGGTCCCCTCAGTGTAGTACCTTGTAGTACTCTCCTCCACCAGCAGTCTGACTTCCTATCATGTCTGGACAGTCTTCCTGAATATGGGAGGTTTTCCAGCAGGGAAACAGCTTTCTGCCGAGTAAAGGACTTTGTGTCAGCTTAGTGCTGTTAAACCTACAATCTCCACAGACAAATACTGACTAAACCTGACACTGCTGACCCAAGCAGACACACACACACACACACGCACACACACACAGACAGGCTGAGGGAATTAATGGATGTACTCAGACTGCTGTGAATGCACCAGAAAACCCTGATAACAAGTATTCACACAATCAATGAATGTGTGGCCAAAACACATCATTGTACAGGAAATATACTTTGGAATATAAAGACTTCCACAACAAACACGGGAACACGGAGACAGTCATACACAATACAAGTATTCAATACACGTGTGTACTTTAAAACTTTTTTTTGGCCACCTGGTCTTATTCAACTTGTCACATCGATTTATATATATATTTATTATATATGTACATATGTTTGTCTATGTATACATTTGTATGTTGGTATTTCTTTATGTTAACATATATTTATATATATGTACAAATGTAAAAATACATATATATTTACGTATGTATATTTATATATATATATAAATATTTATTCATTCCTGTTTCTACAGTCAGTCTTTGACCGATGTTTTTGTTTTTTTTTGTTTTGTTTTTTGATGACAATAGCCCCATGTCAGTTGGTCTGTCGGTCAGTAGTCCTGGCGGTGATTTTTAGAGCTTTGACGTTAAATGTTGTTGATGTTTTCACGCTGAATCGACCTTTTCCGCCCTCACCCTGACGGTGTCGCTCTGTCCCACCTTCAGAAGGAGATGTCCAGTATCACGGGCTACGCGTTGGAGAATGGGAAGGAGCAGCTCATGTTTGAGGTTCCCCTCAACGACACCGGCTCGGCAGGACTGGGCGTCAGCCTCAAAGGGAACAAGTCCAGGGAGACGGGAGAGGGTCTGGGAATCTTCATCAAGTCCATCATCCACGGAGGAGCTGCCTACAAGGTACTGTGAGGAATGTCAACATTTTATTTGTCCTCGGTGAGCTGCAGTCAGCAGTCTGTGTCGTGTGTTGTTAAAAAGTTCTCTCTGCTCCCATCAGTACACACACACACACACACACACACACACACAGACAGAACAACCTCCTGCAGTTAAAACACCAAAGTGAACATTTTATAAAAAGCAGAGAAGAAGATTGTGTGTGTGTGTGTTAGAGTTGTTGTAGCCACTTTAGCTGTCTGCGCTTCTGCAGCTCCTCTACCATTAACCTTTGACCTCCAGCACACCAGGACCCTGTTGACAAACTGTTCAACAGCAGAGACAGACAACAACTTTTGTGAATTGCTCCGTTGTGGAGGATCAGTCTGGTAAATGGCACTGAAGAAGCAGAGCCTCTTCATCTGTGCTGTGGTTGGAGCTGAGTCAATATTTCATCTGTTCTGTGAAGCCAGCACTGATTCAAAACCTTAACTATAAAACATGCATACAAACATACGGCCTGCGGGCCAAAAGCGGCCCAGTAGGGGGTTCAATCCGGTCCACTTTATGAACTTTGAAAGTGGAAAAAAATGCACAAACTTTTCACGTTGTTAATGTTTGTTTTTTTGTTTTCAAATTACATTTCATTAAATATAAATATTTTCTAATATACTTGTACATATTTCCAGGAAAACAAAAGAGGGGAAACATGGACTTGTTGTTATTTATATGTGATTATGTTACGTACTGGTCCGACCCACATGACATCTGATCAGGCTGTAGTTTGACCCCTGCTTCAGACTAAAGCTGAGGACCAATAAAAAAAAAAGAACAGTTTAATTCAAACTTAAATGCTTTTCTCATGTCTGTGGTCTGTAAACAGGACGGACGTCTGTGTGTCAACGACCAACTGGTAGCTGTCAACGGAGAGACGCTGCTGGGACTTTCTAACCACGAGGCCATGGAGACGCTGCGTCGCTCAATGTCACAGGAAGGAAACGTCAGAGGGACCATCCAGCTGGTGGTGCTGAGGAGTCAGAAGGTGCTGTGTGTGTTTTTAATACTACGCACCAAATGTGAACCTGAAGCCTGGGCTAAAGGGTTGTTAGCTTGTAGGGTAGCAGATGGCATGAAAGATTAGCATTGCAATTAGCAATTAGCCTGAAAATGAAAAATGTTAGTAACATGAATAAAATTATATAACCAGTATTACCTAAATGTATATATATATATATATATATATTCATATATATATATATATATATATTATACCACTTAATATAATTCTATTCATATACTTTATATATTCATATATACAATATATATTTGTATTTATACTCAGCCTGTCTCTGGTTCCACACACACTCTTGACACAGACCTCACTGCTCTCTCGCTCTCTCTTTCTCTCTCTCTCTACCCTCTGAGTATTTACCCCTCAGCTCTCTTCAGATCCTCGTAGTTGTGCACGAGTGTGTGTGTGTGTGCGCACGCCTGTGTAAATACAAACACGTAGCATCAGTGTCTTCTTTATTCAGCTTTATCTCATCTCTGGACGAGCCAAAAAAGATTTTCCTCTCAGCCGGCTTTCCAGTGGAATTCCTTTAACGTGGCACGGCTCGGTGTTTGCCCACGCCCTTGCAGTGGCACCACTGGGTTGTTGGCTCCGCCGTGCCACTGTGTACTGTTGGCCCGCTGATAGTCAAGAACTACAAACACACCCCGTGTTGTGTGTTTACTCTGGAACGTCACACACAGATGAACAGATTAACGTCGAGAGAAAATAAACACAGAGCGAAAAATGTTTTGTTTTCAGTAGCAAGTGTAATTGGATCAGTCAACAGTCGGTGCTCAGTCTCTGCTGTTTCACCAAAGAACCCTCTTCAATACTAACAGCTTTAATGTTAATTCAACCTGCACTTGTTTTATTTAAGTGTGTAAATCTCATTTCCTGTTTGAAGTAGTCACTTTGAGATTAATAGTTTTTTTTCCCCGTTACTCTTCCTCATTGTATTTTTGATACTGCAGTACTATCTACTCTCCGTGAACTACTCTGTGAATACTCCCTCTCTCTCTCTCTCTCTCTACTATTGGCTGTTGCCAACATGTGTTTACAGTTGTGACAGTTTTTCTTTTCTCTTATTGTAGGATCATGTTGGCACGTCACCAAATCGCTCCTTCGACGGCTCCTTCGGTCTTTCAGGGCTGATGAGTCCAGGATTTGGGCCTACGGGATTGGTCAGTCCGGCCAATCACCCTCACATGGTCAACAACTCTTTCTATGGGTCCAGTGGTGAGTGACCTTTAACCTTTAACCAGCAGTAACCAGTCACACGTTGACTGTCAGTTTTATTTAGTGATTCTCAACCGCTGTTGAGTAGTAGTAGTAGTAGTAGTACTAGTAGTAGTAGTAGTAGTAGCAGTACTAGTAGTAGTAGTAGTATTCGTGCACACATGGGCGTTCACGGCGTTGACCTTGAATACTCCTCCCCGTTAGCATCGACCTCCTCAGTGGTGTCATTATCACAAACACGTCGTGTGTGTACCGTAAGAGTATTTGTTGTACTCTGTGTGTTGTTGCCAGTATTCTACTCCAGTAATAAACAGCGCCACATATTGGATTGATTTTATTCTGCGTCCCAGTCCAAATCTACAGAAAGGAATCTTTGTCTGGTTCAAACGTGGGCTTCTGCAGCAGAATAAATAAAAGAGTTGAATCATTCCTGACATGTGCTTTTATGCAAATGTTTATTTTTACATTTTGGATTTTTTTTCTTTATTTTCTTATCCATTTCTGCATCTCATTAGGTTTGTTATTCCCTCATTTTGTGTTTGTGTGTTTTTTAATAGTTCTCTAGTTCTCAGAAACTATAGAGATTTTTTTTTATGCATTTAGTCAACTTTTAATTTTTTTTTTCAGTTTAAGCACATTAAGAAGGTTTGGGGATGAATGTGAAATGCCTGTTGTGTAAAAGGACTAAATGTTTTCACCATGTTGACTGTCAGATGTGGAGCAGTTGTATAATTTGGCTCCGGAGCAGCAGTGTCGTTAGGCAGATGTTATTGTTCTCTGCTTTTTTTAATGTTTCCATTTGAGAAATGCTGCATCACTTTCACAACGTATACGACTTTAATGGCTGACAAACAGAAGTCAGAAGTTTACGAACACAACATTTGGGTTTGGATTTTCATCTGTTGTGATTTGTTTTCATGGCTAAAATACAGAAACTATTTTTAAACCGACTCGTTCAGTGAGGAATGAACTGTAGTTCATGATAGAAGTAGTGGTGGCAAAAATATAATAATTTTTTGGCTTCAACAGTTAATTCCTAAATATGGCAACAAAATAAAAAAGTTGACAACAGTTAATATGGCAACAAAATAAAAAAGTTGACGTGCTTCAGTGAAATGAAAACGACTTTGTGTAAATAACGACTTGTCAATCAACCTGATTGTCGTCATGTGTTGAATGCACTGGTTGGACACGTTGATGATGATTTTGGGGGAAGAGAAACAGTGAAGTGTGGAGACACATTAGTGAAAAATGCACACAAGAAGAAAAAAAAAAACCAAAGCAGGAAGAAAAGTTCCGCGCCGGGAGAGAGACGATTCATATAACGCTATCAGAGCAAACTGCTATTGATCCATCATCCGCTCCACAGATGCCTTTTTTCACTTCAAATGGTGGGAGTTAGTGAGAGTAGATTTCTCTGTGTGTGAGGTGAAAGAAGAATGTGTTTTTGACAGTTCAGCTGATTAAGGTGCTTGGCTGTGTGCAAGGAGGAGGAGGAGGAGGGAGGAAGTTTAGGGGAGAGAGAGAGAGGGAGGGAAAAAAGTGAGTGGGAGATAAAATGATTTATGGTTGATGTGAAAGGAGAGATAAATGACAGCCAAAATATCAGAAGATTGCAGGAATGGGAGCAGGAGAAAAATAAAGCAGGTGATTAGTGGAGAGAGAGGAGAGACGGAGGTGAGAGGATGTGATGTCGTCAGATGCTGCCAGCTCAGTCCACACATGTGCGGGTGCAGGGGTGTGAGGAACTGCGGCGGTAGATGTTGTGCGGCAGCTGTGAACTCAGAGAAGTGATGAGTGTATGTAAATCGTGCTCCAGTTCGGTGCGTGTTTGTGTATGGAGTTGTCATGAAGTCATTTGTCAAGACGAGACGTTCCTGTCACTGCCGTACATCTGCGCCCACTCCTGCAGATGTCCCGCAGCTGTACTGTACGCCTGGTGTGGGTCTCTACCCTCAGCAGGACGAGACGAGGACGAGACCGTCGTCTGTCAGTCACAGAGAGACCAACGTTAAAAACCCCCTTGATTTGGTCTGTTGATTTGGTCTGTTGATTTGGTCTGTTGATTTGGTCTGTTGATTTGGTCTGTTGATTTGGTCTGTTGCGCCACATATTGGATTGATTTTATTCTGCGTCCCAGTCCAAATCTACAGAAAGGAATCTTTGTCTGGTTCAAACGTGGGCTTCTGCAGCAGAATAAATAAAAGAGTTGAATCATTCCTGACATGTGCTTTTATGCAAATGTTTATTTTTACATTTTGGATTTTTTTTCTTTATTTTCTTATCCATTTCTGCATCTCATTAGGTTTGTTATTCCCTCATTTTGTGTTTGTGTGTTTTTTAATAGTTCTCTAGTTCTCAGAAACTATAGAGATTTTTTTTATGCATTTAGTCAACTTTTAATTTTTTTTTTCAGTTTAAGCACATTAAGAAGGTTTGGGGATGAATGTGAAATGCCTGTTGTGTAAAAGGACTAAATGTTTTCACCATGTTGACTGTCAGATGTGGAGCAGTTGTATAATTTGGCTCCGGAGCAGCAGTGTCGTTAGGCAGATGTTATTGTTCTCTGCTTTTTTTAATGTTTCCATTTGAGAAATGCTGCATCACTTTCACAACGTATACGACTTTAATGGCTGACAAACAGAAGTCAGAAGTTTACGAACACAACATTTGGGTTTGGATTTTCATCTGTTGTGATTTGTTTTCATGGCTAAAATACAGAAACTATTTTTAAACCGACTCGTTCAGTGAGGAATGAACTGTAGTTCATGATAGAAGTTGTGGTGGCAAAAATATAATAATTTTTTGGCTTCAACAGTTAATTAACAGTTAATATGGCAACAAAATAAAAAAGTTGACGTGCTTCAGTGAAATGAAAACGACTTTTTTCCCCACAGTGTGTGTAAATAACGACTTGTCAATCAACCTGATTGTCGTCATGTGTTGAATGCACTGGTTGGACACGTTGATGATGATTTTGGGGGAAGAGAAACAGTGAAGTGTGGAGACACATTAGTGAAAAATGCACACAAGAAGAAAAAAAAAAACCAAAGCAGGAAGAAAAGTTCCGCGCCGGGAGAGAGACGATTCATATAACGCTATCAGAGCAAACTGCTATTGATCCATCATCCGCTCCACAGATGCCTTTTTTCACTTCAAATGGTGGGAGTTAGTGAGAGTAGATTTCTCTGTGTGTGAGGTGAAAGAAGAATGTGTTTTTGACAGTTCAGCTGATTAAGGTGCTTGGCTGTGTGCAGGGAGGAGGAGGAGGAGGAGGGAGGAAGTTTAGGGGAGAGAGAGAGAGGGAGGGAAAAAAGTGAGTGGGAGATAAAATGATTTATGGTTGATGTGAAAGGAGAGATAAATGACAGCCAAAATATCAGAAGATTGCAGGAATGGGAGCAGGAGAAAAATAAAGCAGGTGATTAGTGGAGAGAGAGGAGAGACGGAGGTGAGAGGATGTGATGTCGTCAGATGCTGCCAGCTCAGTCCACACATGTGCGGGTGCAGGCGTGTGAGGAACTGCGGCGGTAGATGTTGTGCGGCAGCTGTGAACTCAGAGAAGTGATGAGTGTATGTAAATCGTGCTCCAGTTCGGTGCGTGTTTGTGTATGGAGTTGTCATGAAGTCATTTGTCAAGACGAGACGTTCCTGTCACTGCCGTACATCTGCGCCCACTCCTGCAGATGTCCCGCAGCTGTACAGTACGCCTGGTGGGGGTCTCTACCCTCAGCAGGACGAGACGAGGACGAGACCGTCGTCTGTCAGTCACAGAGAGACCAACGTTAAAAACCCCCTTGATTTGGTCTGTTGATTTGGTCTGTTGATTTGGTCTGTTGATTTGGTCTGTTTATACTCTGGACACACGACTGAAATTAAATAAAAATCACATTTTTGGGACAGTTTGGTGGGCCGGATTCAGCCTGCGGGCCACCAGTTGATCATCACTGATCCGGTCTTTGTGTGCTGACCGTTTTTACCCCCCACCCCTCTCTTTTGCCCTCTTCTCAGTGACCAATGGCAGTTATTCCCACATGGATGAGGAGGAGGACGGAGAACTGTACGGACATGAAGACTTCAGTGGCTCCGCCCAACATTCCTACCTGCAGGAAAGGTTAGAGACAGTGTCTGATACCGATACTGTAACTTGGAGTATCCACCGATACCGATATCAGTCCGATACCTTCCTTTCTCCTATATCACACCGTGGGCTGCGGTTGCTGAGGCAACAGTGTTCCTGTTGACGGCATGTTGGGAGGGAAGTTAGGTTGAGCTTTTGGGCTGAGGTATCGGATCAGATCGGATCAGATCGGATCAGATCGGATCATGTGCTCTATAGTTGTTTATTTTCTGATGTTCGATCCTGAAATTCTGACCAATATCGGAACGATACCGATCCTGACTATCAGGTTGAACCGTCTTCAATCCGATACTTTACTGCAAGTGTAGACGCATCGGATATTTTTACTGGGAAATTCTGCCCCCTGTACTCAAAGGTACTACTGTGTTTTTAAGTATGTAGTACACAGGATTATTCTGGATGATATTCTGAGACAGTAACAATAACCAAACATATGCAAACCTTAAGATGAAAAGAGCAATTAATTTGTAATTAATTTGAATATTAGATATTTAATATTTGAACGGAGTAATAGTTCCCATCGATATCAAAAATATTACAGTATTTTACCGTAGTAACATGATGTCAAGACTAAAAGACACAACTTTTTTTCCCCAGAGAAACTTCTCACGCCTCCAGTCAGGCTCAGCCCCAGTTCCAGAACCAGACCCAGACCCAGACCCAGACCCAGCGTCAGTTCCAGCACGTCAAGGCGTCCAAGAGCATGGACCTGGGTACGACTCAGAACCAGCAGCACTCTGGTGGGGTGAAGTTTCTGTTCAGCTGCTCTGCATGGAGGCTGCATGTGTCTAACTCACACGTTTACTCTGATGCATGGCTGCAAAACACAGACTTCACTGCAGACGCACAGTACTACTGCAGTACTACTGCAGTAATACTGCACGGCTGCAGGTGAAAGGGTCTGTTGCAGTACACGGCTGCAGGTGAAAGGGTCTGTTGCACGACTTTTAAAATATTTTTATTTTATTTTATTTTTGCTGTTTTTGGTTGTCTACTTCTAGCTGTTCCTTTTATGAGGTTTAATGAGCTGTACTGTTCAACACTGCCCCCTGTGACTTTCAATGGTACTGCCCCCCGGTTCTTAAATATGGGACCGAAATGAGAGCTTTCTAACAACAACAACCAAAATAATGCCCGTTACAAAAGCAGAAGACGAACGAAAGGCTCTGGATGAAACTTAGAAACGCGTTGACGTTTGAGGTTCTCTGTTGACGACGGCAGCTGCAACAAAAGGCTGTTGTTCTACATGTCACTTCACTCAGTCCTCCTTCACATGACTGTGAGTGTGTGTGTGTGTGGGTGTGTGTGTGTGTGAGTAAAGACTAGTCTGTTCATCAGAAATCAGTGGTAAATTATGACAAATGAATGAGAATGTAATCACTGTTTGCTTTAATGGAGCGACAGTAAAAACACAACATTTTATTATTGGACGTCTCCGTCTGTAGTGGAGTGTTTTTTTTTTCAGCTGAGTTAGCAAATATTTTTACTTTAGCTTTGACGACTTGTTAGCTTGGCTGGATTATAGGCCGCAGCGTTCGGCTTCTGTGTGTGTGTGTCGGTGTGTGCGTCACACATGTGGCATCTCAGATCTGCTGAAGTCGGCAGTCACACACACACGCACACACACACACATGGACAAACTGATGGTCTGCTGGAGCAGTTTCTGGGCTTCACCGCAGACACACACACTGGTCGACACAAGATAAAATTCCAGCCAAGCCTCGGTTTCATTAGTGAAAGTGTTTGCACTGAGAGGAAATGTTGCTGTTTGGTTTGTGTGGTCTGGGTGTGTGTGTGTGTGTGTTCCTGGTACTGTGATACTAGTGGGGACATACCAGTAAGAATTACTGCACTTTGTTTTGTTTTGGTCGAGGGTATTTAATCTGGAGTTAGGATTAGAGTTATGATAAAGATTAGGATGAGGGATATATTTGGAATAGTTGGGTTAAAACTAAGGGGCGAGGACAATCATTGTCAATGTGACGTGTTGTGTATGTGTGAGTAGTTCAGGTTAATGTATCCTTGTGGGGACAGGTCCACACTTACATACATGTATGTCCTGATAACTGATGAAAACCAGACTATGTGTGTGTGTGTTTGGCAGAGTACTACCTGTTACCACACTTACATACATGTATGTAACAGTACTACCTGTTACTGCCTCTGTGTAGTCGATGGAATAAATGTGGGTCAAGAAGAAGGAATGAATGAAAGAAAAATAATTTAAAAAAATAAAGGGTGTGAAAAGAAAGACTCCAGATGATGTTAGAAATATAATCCAACAGTCAGGTAATAAGAACCCTGGGAGGACAGACGTGAGGTCAAAGGTCAGGGCGAAGTTAAGACAGGGTGGATGATGAATGACATGAAACTGAAGGTTTGGAAACTGACCTTCAGAGGCAGAGTGGAGTCTTACATCACAGGAAATGACATCATTAGAAACCAGACACAAAGACTGACGGTGGGAGACGGAGGGACAGGATTTGTGGGAGGAAGGCCTACGTTCTGATTTAAAAAAAAAAAACAGATTTAAGATTTTATAGATCTGACCAGTTTGAACAAAAATGTTGAATTAAAATCTCTGGAGTTTCAATAACAACTTCAAGGATGGACTCACTGATGTTTTTCTTTGTGTTTCAGTGGCAGACGAGAGCAACGTGGGATCCCTGATGGGAAACACTGCAGGTGAGAAAATACTCATCAAATACACAGATACACACCAGTACTCGTTAGTTCACTCTCCAGGTATTGGCCCAAATAATAATAACAAAATAACCGGCCGAGCTCTAGCTCTAGAACCAGACTGTTGACTGAAACAGGCCTCAGTGTTAGCGGCGTCTTCTCCTCCAGCACCTGAACACACGTTCACTGAGTCATGGATTCACACTGGACTGAACTGAGCTGCTGATTCTGAACAGATGGTCTGACACACGGAGCTGAACTGTAAGAATGTTTCTGAGTCAGATTAGATCAGAACAAACTACAAACTGCTCCAAATGTGAAGTGTTTAAAGTTATCACCAAATTAGCAGTGAATTTACTGCATGGTCGAACTGAACCGACAGCCTGGACTGCAGTACTTGTAGTACATCTTACAGTCTCTGACCTCAGAGTACTTCATCTGGTTAGTTGGTATTTGTTGTTAGTTGGTAAATGGACAAACTTTTCCAAAGCGTCACCTGGTGGCAGTAGTTGTTACATCAAAAATATCAGGTCGAAGATTTTTCTGTGGGCAGTTTGTTTTGGTACTTTTTGGACCAACAGAACAATTAATTAATCGTGATTAATTAAGACTTACGGTGTCATTAATCTGATTCAAAGTTTACAGTTATTTGACAACTGTAATTTGAAATTAAATTCAAACATTCAGAGATTTCTTCACTTCTTCTCAGGTCTGTGATCAAAGAGAGAAAACTTCAACATGAAGTTTTTTGTTTTTTCAGTTTCCAACTTTTATTCTTGTCAGGGGTTTTGTTTTTCTTTGTTCCACTTCCAGGCTTCTCTTTTACCAGACTGGTCATGTGACCTGTTGCTCGTGTGTGTGTGTGTGTGTTTAATTCCATGTTAAAAGGTGTGTAAACTTGGCAGGTTTACTCCTGTTTTTCCTTATCTTAAATATATTTTTATAACCGGACTACTTCGTACCAGCCGGTTCTGGGAAGTCAGAGAGCAGCTCCCAGTTTTTGTTTTTTTTTTCTGTAATTTTCTGTAATGTGAATGAGAGAGTTTGGGTTTTGGAAACACACAGACTTCTGGGAATGTTGGTTTCAATTCCAGAAATTGACTTTTTCTCCTCCACGCTCCAAAAGAACCACAGTTGAACCACACCAGAGCAGAAGAGAACCATTACCATTAGAACCATGTTCTGGTGATGGCAGGAAAATATGAATCTGAGAAGATGTCACGCTGTGTGTGTGTGTTTTTCTAAAATCTCAAACCGAGCGATGAAAATAGGAGATCAAATAAACAGCACTTATTAGAGTGTGTGTGTGTGTGTGTGTGTGTGTGAGGGAGACTGTGGTCAGACAGAACTCACGGTTCTGTGGTGGCACCAGGAGTTTGGATCCAGATCAGTGCAGCCATAAATCAGCTCAGCTGTGTGAGGGCAGACGTGAGGCGCAGTGACGGAGCACTCGGCTTCAAATTAACTCCCGAGCGAATCATTCATGTCAGGCCGTAACGCATCACCGCGTGGAACCTGCACGGCATCATGGGAGAAAAATAAAGAAGAATCTGAATTTGTCAGCCTCACTTTTTCTCAACTGCCAAGTGATGATCTTCTCAAATGACCTGAGACGGGATAGTGTAAACACACACACACACGTGTGAAAAGATATTTGGATTTGAATGAAGGTCAGATTATGGTTAGGGCAGAGATTAGGATTATGAGGCTGTGTGAGATGTTCTCACAAAACACAAATACCTGTATCTGTGTGTGTTTGTTTACCTGAAAGAGTTGAACTTTTTTGTTAAAAATACTTTTGAAACTGTTTGGTTTGAAGTTAGGATTAGAAATAAGGTTAGATTAGAGTTTGGATTAGGATTATATGAGAAAAACCTAGTGTGTGTGTGTGTGTGTGTTCATCTCAGTGGCAGAGATTTAATTTTTTTGTACAAATGAAACAGTGACTGATGATCATTCAGCTCTGATGAAAAACCTCTGGACCAAAGTGTGTGTGTGTGTGTGTGTGTGAGTGTTTAATGAAATGATCTCCAGACACACACACACATGACGTGACATCATGAGTTCCATCACCTGGTTCTCAGTGACCTGACCTCTGACTTTGTCCTCGTCTCTGAGGACACACACACACACTCCTGTCCATATGTCCATCGACGTGAAAAGACGTCGTAGACGGAAGACATTCAGCCGTTCACTGTAGCTTCACGTCTTCTTTCTATTGGTTCCTTCAAACCCTGGGCTCCTCCCCCTCTGGGCTCCTCCCCCTCTTGGCTCCTCCCCCTCTGGGCTCCTCTCCACTCTTCTCTCTGTCGTTTTGTGCCAACGCCATTCAGGCTTAGAGACTGACAAACAAGCAGAGGAGCTTAGAACAAAACGGTCCGTGTGAGTATGAGTGTGTGTGAGTGTGTGTATGAGTGTGTGTGTCGGTGGACCAGTGTGATGCTGAGGGGAGGGAGTCTGCTGCAGTCCATTGTCTGAATCTCTCCCTGGTGGAACTTTGACTTTGACAGCAGTCACACACTGACGAGTTCTGGCAAACTGTGTCTTCAGAGAGACACGTCTCCCCCCTCCTCCCTCCCTCCCTCCCCTTCTGTCTCCCCCGTCTCTGATCTCTTCATTTCTGTCTCCCTTTACGTCCCTCATTTTCCCCACATATTCACTCTGGGGTCTTATTTATTCTCCCCTCTCTGTAACATGTGTTTAATTTAAACTCTGCTGAGTTCGTCTACTTTTGGTCGAAGTCTCAGTCGACGTCGTGTTGTCGAGGTCTGAACGACGACATTGATCGATGCAGTAGTCGATGAACAAATTGGTAAAAACGTCTGTCAGGGACGACGTCCAGTGAATGTGGATTCGTCATGTAAACGGGAAGAAAATATGGCAGCCAATCAGAGCTCTGTTTGAAGGCTAAAGGGCGGGACCTGTGAACAGACAGGAACGAAACATAGAAAATATGTTTCTTATAAAATAAGCAAGAGAATTTCAGAAGCCAGAGAGAATTCAGCAAGATGTTAAATCAAGGAAAAAAGGAAAAGAAAAATCCCATTAAATGTTGGTTACGTGGGCAGTGAGTTTCACTGAGTCGATGAGTAATCGTGTTAGAAATTCATGATTTCAACATGGACCATTATTTCTCTGTAATCGAGCAGACCTACTGTCTGGACATGAGGAGGTTCTTGGTTTGATTCCACCGCAGGTCAAGACTGTCGAAGTCCTGATGAAGGGACGAAGTGAAAACGATCGTCCGCTGCACTGCGGTCGTTTTGAAAGACGCTGCAGTGTCTGGTCACTGGTCAGTAGTCAGTGGTCAGTGGTTACTGGTCTGTGATTTAAACTTCAGTCACCGTCTAATAAATGACTGCTGCTCTTCCCATAAACTGGACTCTGGCCGTGACGCAGTTTGAACGCTGGCCTCGTGCTGCGTGGATGTTTTTTTAAGCTGCGTGTGGGAATTACTCAGAACTCGAGGAATTAAGAACGGTTCTTAGTGGTTACAGAGAGAGAAGTTAAAAAGATTTGGTCGTTTCTCATGGCTCCCAGTGAAGGAGCCAAAACAGGAATCTCCCCTGAAGGAATCTTCATTTCCAGGGAGAGAGAGAGAGAGAGAGCGGCCGCCGCCGTCACAGACGTTAGGAAAGTACTGTAATAAAACTGGAGGCTGAATACTGCAGTGTGTCCAAGGTTTGTAAGGTTTTGTGTCATAAGTGTTTTTTGAATTTCATCACCTTCAACATTTGCACCAATTCTCCCAGAAAACGAGTTTCACGTCTGGGGCTTCAGAACGAGTACTCAGTACTCAGTACTCAGTACTTTTCACGACACCAGTATTCATCCTGCTGCTGAGAAAGAAATCGTTTTCACTCTCATTTACTGTTTTTTTTTTTTTGTTTTTTTTTTACTGAAACCCATTTCTGCTGGTGTGAAAATAGAACCCAGGAGTTAATGCCGGCCTCCTTCGTTTGTTGCCCTCGTTCACTGCTGCTGAGCCGACGCTTGTGTAGTGTTGACTTTGAAAGTTGCCCCGCTGCTTCTCTGCCAACAACATCGCCTGTGGGAACAGTTGGCACCGTCCGACTGCTGTGTTTTGTTCCTGGTTTTTAATGTTTGATTTTTTTATTTTCTTTTTCTCTCTGTTGTTGTCGTCGTCGCCTGTTTTCTGATGTTCTCTGTTCAGAGTCCGCGGCCCGTGTTTCCTTCAGGCTAGGATTCCTCAATTCTTTAAGTGACTATTTCACATCCTGCCAAATCACACCACTGTTATACCCCCCCCCCCCAGTTGCCCCTCCACCTGACGCTCACAGCAGAAACACTCTGTCTGAGGCGGGGGGGCGGGTGGGGGGGGCGGAATAAATAAAATAAAGTCAGGCAGGTAAGACATGTATGTGTGTGTTTGGTGTGTGAGTGTGTGTGTGTGTGTGTGTTGTCAGTGTATTTTATTAACATCAAAGTTTTCCAGCCTGACTCTCTGGATGTCACGTGTTTTTCACTGTTTTTATGGATGGTAGTTATGGCCTCTTGTCCATCACCCCCCCCCCCCCACCACCCCCACAACCACCACCACACACACGCCCCCGGGGCCACTTTAATTATGCATCTGCATACATTTTGTGTGTGTGTGTGTGGTTAATGGTTGTTTAAATAGATATGGAAGTCACATCAGCTCCCTCATCTCTCTGTTCTGACAAAACACACACACACACACACACACACACACACAGACGCGCAGTCATGTGTGTGGGGAATCATTAGCTAATGTGATGCAGGTTTGGAGATCATGAATCACAGTGGCATCATATCGACAGGCCAGAGCCAGCCAGGAATCCAAAGTGTGTGTGTGTGTGTGTGTGTGGGTGTGTGTGTGTGTGTGGTACCATTATTTTTTGAGCTGCCAGCCGGCCCAGCCTTCCTGCCTTCTTCCCATTTTTCTCTGTCTTCCTCATTGACATGGTGGAATTCCTTAGAGGGAACTTAATTTGTTGCCTCCCTGTCATCAGTCCTTCTACCCCTCCCCCCCACCCCCCCTCCACCCTCTTCCTGTCCTGCCATCAGTGTCCTGCATGTATAGGATGTTACATGGGGGGCAGACCACACGGGGGGGGAGGGGGGGGGCACTGAACCCCTCCTCAGATCTCACAGGTGGTGAGGAAGTCAGGAGTCGATCAGAAAGTTCTAGACTTTGAGGGTTCTCAAACTGAGTGTTGTCTCCCTGAACTCTGGCTAACTTTCTTTTTACCTGAGATGCTGAAACCATTGGATTAAAAATCACAAATTTGATGTTCAGATTTGAAAATGTTTCAGTTGTGCCAGTTGATGATCACTGGTCTATACTGTATCATTCCCAAAAAATGTGGAACTGGTCTGGTCTCGTCGCCTCAAACTTGTACAATGTCCATCATTGTTGAAACTGTCTGTGCTCCTCGCCCATCATTCTTTCATCGAGGGCTGGGAGTGGCCCCCAGGCCAGTAGTTTGGTCCCCTCTGCTCCAGACCCTCCCAGCCTCCGTACCATCTCAGAGTGAGTGTATACTTGAGATGACGGATGGTGCAGCAGTGACAGTGACCGACGCTCCACATCCATCACAGACTCAACAACAGCCTGGTTAACTGCATCACTGTGTCTTTTTCTGGTCCCGGTCTTTCCAGCTCACGGTCGGTGACGCCTCAGGATTATTGTTAAATCAATCAGGAGGAGACGCAGCGACGACCGTTTCATTCAGGGGTCTCATCAGACTTGGATTAAAAAAGTTAAAAACTAAATCTACCGTATGTCTGGGTGCTGGGTTTCACAAAAGCAGTGGTTTGAAGAATATCACTTAAAAGTCTATTTTACTGACCCCTACTGGACAGTTAAGACAGAGTGACAAACAGGTCAACCGTCAGTAGTTTAAAGTCTGATTCTTTTATTTCTCCTCCCGTTGCCTCAGCTCCGCTCAGTCCGGTGGAACTCGGTCCGACCCTTGGCCTGAAGAAGTCCAGTTCCCTGGAGAGTCTCCAGACGGCCATGTCCGAGGTCAACAGGAAAAACGAACTCCTTCCCTTCCACCGTCCTCGCCCAAATATGGTCAGAGGAAGAGGCTGCAACGAGAGCTTCAGGGCAGCCATCGATAAGTCGTACGACGGGCCGCCGGAAGACGACGACGGTAAGACGGTCGATTGAACATCATTTTTAGTTTTTTATATCCAGTACCGATACTCCAACCACAAATTTCTACTGCTTTTTTTTACCACAATTTGTATTAAAAAATAGACAGGCTCATCATCCCCCTTCAGGCCAATGTAGGTACTGCTGAAGAAAATATGGAGAAATTATAATTATAATTCTTGTGTAAAAGAAGCAACCTAACGAGTGAGCTATAATTAAAATAATGACATCTGATATATTAGCTTGATTATTAGCCAAAAAACAAAAAAAGACTAGTAAAATCACAGCCATATAACATATAATAGAGGAGTCAGACCAACTGCTGCTGCTGCTCCGACGGATCTTTTTTTTTTCCATGGAAAATACCTCACTTTCAGATGTAATACTTTTCCTAATTACATTTTCATCAGTAAAGTTCCTCTGTGATGAACGCCGTCTGTCTCCAGTTTCCAAAACCCGTGGACCGGCGCAGCAGCGGTCCATCAGTCAGAGGCTCTGGTTCTGAGCTGCTCTTTCACTTTAAATATTTATCCAGGAGTTAAACGCTCACCGGCTGCTTTGTTCCAGCCGCCGTTGCGTCTCAACTCCCAGCTGTGTTATTAGCAGCGAACTCTTATCAGTCAGCGGCAGAGTAATGAGTCGGGCGGCTTCAGATCACCGCTCTAACACAGGATCGGACTAATAGGCCGCGTCAACACCACGAGCAGTGGCCACATCTGTCACCGTCCTTCAGGACCGTCAACGCTGCGAGAGACGGCGTTAATTGACAGATAACAGATCTCTGAGGCCTGAGCTGAAACGACCACACGCTCTTTGTCTCCTTTGGTCACCAGAAGGGGGAGAAAAGAGAGAAAACTGAAGACATGGTTTAATACGACGTTAAATCTGGTTTCATCTTTATCAGATCCAACGTTCTGACTGACTCTGCGTCGGGCTAATACCACGGCTAATACCACTTGTCAAGAGGCACATTCACTGCAGCATTTGTGTCACTTTGATGTGTCCCAGCTGAGGTACATGATAACGACACGGGAATTACCGCGCCCTCACTTTGAGCCTCTTTGTTTTCCTTTTCCTTTTCAAAACTGTTAAATTCCTTTCTCCTCACAGGTCGATCAAATGTCAACAGGAGTCGGTTTTCTGTTTAATTTTTTTTTTAAAGCTTTTTCTTCATAAACTTTGTCTTTTAAAATACATTTAAAACAATACTTTATGTTATAAAGTACCAGAAGAAAAACATTTTAGGAGAGTAGTTCTTCAACACCACCAGGACCCACCAAAAAAACTTTTAAAAAGCTATTAAATAATTTTGTATAATATATGTAAAATATATATATATATACATTAAAACTGGCACTTAGAAACAAGAACACCAAAAAATATCATTCCTGTACCATTAGAATGAGCCCAGGTACCACCAGTGGTACACGTACCGTAGCTTGAGAACCTGTGTTGACATTTACTGTATTCAAAAAGAAATAACTAAGAGAAAATATGAGTGATTCTCTTCAGGGAGAAGAAAACAGTAACTCTTGGCTTCTAGAAAGTTCTGTGGAAGCTGAAAACTGCACCGGCCGCAAAACAGTCACGAAACAGTTCCAGAGCCAGAACCGTGTTCCTCACGTTGGTCCTGCGGCACGGTGACGACCGTGAGAACTTCATGTTGTGAATTTCACTTTTTCAGTATTTATTATTTCTTTTCCAAAATCTAAATAAACATTGAAAGAAAAAAAATAAAATACTTGGAAAAAACATTTTTATTTTTATTTTAACGTAAATTGTTTTTAAACAAAAACTTAATAGAGAAACGTTAACCACCAACCACCGACTCTTCTGTTTGCAATTTATTGAACTGCGATGACGTCACGAAGAGAAAAGTTATGAAACTTATGGGAAACAAAGAAGAGGTTTCTTCAGGTCAGAACTTCTTGGATCACGGCAGACATCGTGTCTCACTGCCGACTCTTAAACTTAGTTAAGCAGCAGGTCCTGTTTTCCCAGAATTCCACATTAAGCAAATTCTCTGATGGAAACACCGCTGGCATAAATCAAAGATGTAAAGAAATAAATTCATTATAACCTTTTTAAAAATTTGTCTTTAAAGTGATGTGCTGTCATTTGGCGGTTTCTCAAAATGGGGGTCGGGGTGAGTAGAGGGCACGGAGTTGAAGACACTGGAGGTCATGGCGAGAAATTTTTTTAATTTTAATATATATTTGAGAGTCGCAGTTTATGGGAAGTATGATGAAATTTTGGGCTTCAAAAAAAGTTGGAGAAGTAACGTTCAACATCACCTTGTTTGTAGTATTCTGGTCTGTGTACTACTGTAGTAACATGAAGTACAGTCAGACAGACATTTGTCACACTCAAGTTCTGATCACGTTGGTTAAAGAAAAGAAAATATAACTCATCAAACCTCAGAGCTCTTTTTTTTTTCTTCTACTTCCTCTTCGTTATGAAAAGACCAACAAAAGCACCGTCTGTAAACGGACGCCGCGGAGACTCGGTGATAAATGCAATTAGATTCATATCGTTTCAGCAGACAGTGTTTGTAATTAAGAGTGAAGTGTATTTCCACACAAAGTTGAATCTCAGTTGATGGAACTAATTAGGGTCTGGCTCTCTCCACTAATCTGACATCTCTGTCTCTCTCTCTCTCTCCCCCCTCCTCCCCTCATCTTCCTGCCCTCACCCTCTCGTCTCCCCTCTGTTTGTGAGTGTGTGTGTGTGTGTGTGTGTGTGTCACATCATTGTTCTTCCACAACAGCTCTGTCTGGTCCAGTAACGAGGAACTGCAGTTTACACTTTCAGTATATTTCCCTAAATTCTTTGATCTGAGTGAAACCTTCTGCTGACGCTCAGATCAGACCGTGTTTTAATCTTGTGTTTTAATCTTTCTTTTTTTAATGTACATATTTTATTTCATCTTCAGACGACGGCTCAGACCTGAGCTCGGGCCGTGACACCCCCGCCAGTAGTTCGTCCCGTCAGGGTGTGGGCGACCAAGTGGAGGAGAAGGGCAAGAAAGAGAAGAAAAAGAAAACCAAAGTCAAGAAGAAAGAGAAGAACAAGGCAAAAGGAAAAGACAAAGAGAAAAAGAAGACGGAGGAGCCGGAAGAGACGGAAAAGAAGAGCAAGAAAATTGGCTTCGGCCTCCTGAGGTGAGTGACGAGAACAGAACCTGCTGCTGAAGGTCAGCTGTTCGAGGTCGGCGTAGGAACTGGTAATGACTCTGCACTTGAAATCAAAACTAAATCAACAGCTTTATTTCCGTGACATAACACAGATAATCTAAAAGCCTCAATCTCAGTGATGATCAACTGACGGTCCGTGGGCCAAGTTCAGCCCGCTGAATCATCCAGTCCAGATTTCCCAAATAAACATCAAATAATAATCTTCATTTTATTTACTTTTCCAGCCCATCATGCTCAAAGGTACTTTTTTAGTTTCTAAAATCCCAGCTCCAGAATTGTTTTCCTGTCATTAACTCTAACATTTGTGTGTGAATGTAGCCTCTGCGCTAACACTGGGCGCTAACACTGGGCGCTAACACTGGGCGCTAACACTGGGCGCTAACGCCCTCTCAATGCTGAAGTTTTTTCCTACCAACAATTTGTACTTAATGTCTGCCGTAATGTCCAGATAACATGAAGTACCATTAGTACCACAGTACCATTAGTACCACAGTACCATTAGTACCACAGTACCATTACTGTGCCTGTGTTTCACTGCACCATTACAAAGATGTAGATCTGAAGAAAAACAGTCGTTTTAGCTGCTGTTCACAACAGCAGTCGATCAGAACCTGAACCCAGGAAACACTTAGTTCCACTGATTACACGTCAGAATCGCAGGGTGTTCAGAGTGAGTTATTACACAATAAGACTAATGTTAATGCTATCAAAGGCTGCCTTTGAAAGTCTGCGCCTTTTTTTAACTTTACCTTTTCACCTCCACCAACACTTTTTTTTCCTTCCTTCCTGTTCCTAAATCTGTGCTTCTGTTCTCAGAATATCAAACAGTACCAGTTCAGTTTTCTTAAAGATCCAACATAAAAGAACGCCCGTCATTCATTCATTCATTCATTCATTCATTCATTCATTCATTCATCCATTCATTCATCCATCCAGTGGTAGAACCACAGCTGGAGTGAACCGTTCCACATCTGTTCAACAAACTCAGTCCAAACAGAACGAAACTAAAACACTGTTCGTTAGTGACAACTGCTTTTTTTTTTCTCTCAACTTTAAACATTTATTTCAGCTCCGTCCTCTTTAAGGTGTTCATGATTGTCGATCAAACTGAAAAAAATCCACACACAGACTCTACTCAGAATTATCGGGTATTGAACCAGCAAACCCATGATCTTCTTGCTCTAAAA